ATTAAAAGTACTATTTTTATTTTATTATAATATTAATATTTAAAAATATATAAATAATTTTACGAGCAGTAAAATTTAGAAAACTATAGTGAAAGAGTTTCCTCCAATCAAACACCCCCTAATGGTGGGCATAAAAATCCTCAACTACAAAAAAAAATTCAAAATCGACTAAAATTAGAATTGATGAGTAAGATTTAATTAGATTTTGAGTTTTTTATTAAATATCAAACGAAATTAATTTTAAATAGTTTGAATTTTGAATGTTTGGTCTAGAAACTAAAAAATCAATGGCCATGGTAAATATAATTAAAAAATAGATAATAATAAAAGGAACGATTTTATGAGACAAAAATAAAGGATGATAGATGACAAACTTAAAGTGCAGCATACAAAATAACCAATTTAATCTTGGCACCTAAATCATCTTCTGTTTTCGTCCTATAAAAATCGTCTCTTCTGTCATTATTCTTAAAAAATTAAGGCCGCAAGAAAACCTTTTATAACCAGTTTTTTTATTTGGTTATTAATTTTTAAAATTTAATGTTTAAAATTTAATTAACTAATAGATCAATTTCGGTTGTAACCGAAACCCAACCATAATCATCCCGAGTCTTCCCTTCTCTTTCATTGTTTTATTCTTCTTCTCAAATATAAGTGAAGTTTTAAAATAATGGTAAAAAAGTTAACGACTTAAGTAATTTAGTGGTCATTTTTTTCTGTTGAAAGTAAAAAGTCATGAGTTCGAGTCGCATAACATGTAAGTGAAGTGAAATAAAAGTTGGGAGATAAGTGCTTCTCATTGTGCAACTAAAATAAAAAAAAATGATAGAAAAGACAAAAATTTGAAATAAAAATTTGAGATTAATAATATGACATATATTATATTATTAAATTAGTTGATATATATTATATCATAGATTTAAAAAAAATTAATTATTAAATAATATAAAATTTATTATTTAATACTTTAAATGAAATAACTTATATGATATTGTTAATTTCAAATTTTGATTTTAAATCCCATTTTTCATTATTCAAAGTTTTGTTATATTGATTTGGTCATTTGTTTGATTTTTATTTTAGTTGTGAAATCTCTTTAAAATATTAACCCATATAAAAAATCCCTAAAATTCCAAGCGAAAAAAATTCTCGGATTTTCTTTAAAGATCATTTTTTAGTTGGATTAGGAATCCAAAGAAGAAAACGAAAAAAAACTTGAACATAAATCAAATAAAAAAA